GGGGGGGGGGGGGGAATTGGCGTTGTTGACGAAACAAGACGATAGAGGACGAAAGAGCAAAAGAACGGACGGGGTTCACTCGTGCCCACATCCGACAGAACCGAGCGCAAAGCGAGAACAGACAAGCACGCTTTGACAAGAGAGGGACGGCCGGACACAAAACAGCAAGGACGGCACAGGAGAGAGAATAATCAAGACTACAGAAAGAGCGGGTGCAAGTGCGAGAGAGAGAGAGAGAGAGAGAGAGAGAGAGACAGAGAGAATAATTGTAGCATCATCGTGCCTTGTGCCCACCCACTTTCCGCACCTTTCCCCGAAGGGAAGGAGAGAGGGTAGGATTCGTTTAACGAGAGGAAAACGGTCGTACACTTGAAAAAGGAGAGAGGTCAGAGCAATACATGGAAAGGCTGGCACACATTGAGATACAGCATCTTACTTCGTAGCTTGAGCTGAAAACAGCAAGGCCGACAGATGGAGGTATTTCGTGATCCTGGCCAGAACATTTCATGGGTACGGTCGGCGGCTTCAGGTGAGCATGTGTTTGGCTGGGGTTAGATCCAAGAATGATCGGTAGATGCGGTGAGCGTATGTCTGATAGACACAGGACATGAAATGGCGGACACGCCGAGGCAAGGATGTTCCTCAGTAGGAAATGGGGTGGCCGTGCGAGTTGTGGGCCGGGGCCTTGCCATCCCAACTCGGCGACCAGCTTGCATTGGGTAGTCAGAGGTCCTACCTAGCGACACGTTTATCGTGCCCAGCCGAGAATGGACGGGGAGAGCCACACCCCAAACTCATGTCTTCCGATTGGGGCGCGACAAAAACATGAAACGCGTACTTCGTGGAAGTGAGAGACAACGAAGCAACGTCTACAACAGATCTCCATAAATAGTATCCCAGAAAAACATGCCACGATCTCTCCAACTAACCAGCCGGGTTGATCAAAACTCGTCCTGAGAGTAGCAACATTTACGGGGCACCACAAGAACAGCAGTGGGGCGTTCTTGCCTTCCCTCACCTGTCGATATAGTTCATCCGCCCGGTTGCTGAGCGACAGCGCCACATCGCTGTGCTCCGGCCCCAGAGCCTTCTGGTGAATTGCCTGCGACAACTCTGAAAGCGTCTCGGCCTCAGCATGCTTGCCCTGTGGAACAGTGTGGATCCGTGTGAGGGAGTGGGTCCACCACGAATAAGTGCTCGATCAACGGGGGTTCTCGTAGTATCGAGGGGAAAAAATCAAGTCTGGCGTTACTCAAAAAGCAATAACGCTCGGGGCTTGAGCACCGCGGGGTCCGCGGTTGCCTCAACGGCTTTCACCCGACTGTACAACAACAACACCGTCCCCGAGCACGACAACATCAACAGCACTTCAACGTATAACCCGACAAACCGAACCAAAATGTAGACTTTCTGTCCACCACAACTAATCTCCTGGATTGTTGACGCCTCTCACCTGCACTCTCAAAACCCATGCCCGCATTTCGAGTCCAGGAGCCACTCTGGGTTGCTCACTCTCCAATGCCCCTTCCCAGATGCTGATCGCACGTTCGTTCAGAGGCTCGGCCTGCTCATGCTTGCCCTGGAATGAGGCACATTTCCCATGAGAACGTGGTCAATGTTGCTTTTGCGGAGGAGTAAGCCTCGCCACAACGACGCCCGGTTGTGCAGCACTCCACCGACACCATAGGTTCCCTAGAAAAATGTGAAACCGAACCGCTCTCACCTGTCGACAGAGTAACCACGCTCGCTTGTTGAGCGAACGGGCTACATCGGGGTGCTTCGGACCCAGGGCTTTCTCCCGTATAGCCTGAGACCGCTCATAAAGTGGCTCTGCTTCGTCATACATCCCCTGGAAAGACCAAAATTGGTGGAGATATTCATTTTGTCCCACCACCGATAACCTTGAGAGAACACATCCATACGCGGGAGTGGTGGTTGTCCTCCGGTTTCCACGGTTGGTGGATGCGCGGGTCATTGTGCTTAGAGTGGAGACCGAACCAGTGGAGTGCTCACGCAAATCTCGCAAGTGTCGCTGAAAAGTGGCGCTTCATTGATTGAAGTAGTTCAACCCGCCGCTCCGACACGTACCGTGGTCCCTCTCTCTCGTGGACAGGCGCGCACGACGCAGGACGCATGACTTGCAGATGAATACGTCCCGTAGTTCTATTGAGGAAAGGGGGCATATGGACCTCTTTCGGTGGGGGGTACGCTTGACCAGAGAGTTCTCAGTAACGTCCTTTGATAAACATCCCCGGGGGTCCCAGAAGCTTCTCTCGTCGTATCCTGAACATTGCTACTGATGTATTCTTACAGGAACGATCGGTTTCGGAGCATATATAAACGTATCGGAACACACTGCAACCAACAATACCAAAGCGCCAACCGCCACCTCATAAATCTAATGCCATGAGAGCAAGCGAGTCCCACCTGGTGATCCAACAACGCCGCCCGGCTGTTAAGCATTCGAGCAAGATTTGGGTGGTCCATGCCCAGAGTCTTCTCCACGATGTCAATAGCTCGAACGTAATACGGGCCGGCCTCAGCATACTTGCCCTGAATCAGTGTGGTCAAGGTTTGCGGATCAGTGTGGTCGCGGGTGTAAATATAGTTGCAGAGGGCTCTACAACTCGCCCGGGTTGTCGAGAAGAATGAACTCAACGTCGAATCACCAGGAATCTCTCGGAAAATCCAACGGTTCTTACCTGCCGATGCAACAAAACTGCCAAGCTGTGGAAATCTGCAGCAACCTTTGGGTGGGAAGGACCGTAAACCTTGTCATTAATGGCCATTGAGCGCTTGTATAGTGGCTCAGCCTCTTCGTAGTTGCCCTGGAATGTCCCGGGCGAGCGCGAAACGAACGGATGTAACGTTTGAAAGGGGTTAGGCACATTTTATTTTTTTTAGCAAACCGGTGGGTGATACACCCAGCAACGGCATGGATGATCCGGGCATAGACTTCGTTCCCCGATCTTCAAAGTCGAAAAAACGAAGAGGGCCCACCTCTTTGTACTTGCAATGTGCGGTGAGGACAAAAAACGTGAGGAGTGTGGTCGCTTTACATGGCCCAGCTCAATCCGGAGGATAAAATGCTCCCGTGTGAAACAGTGATCCAGCAAGATCCAACAGTTGTTAACCGGCAATCAGCAGATATCGAGGTATTTCACTCTACATCCTGAGTGCTGAACTTATAACTAGAGATTGTCTCGGAGAACCAAACCAGCACGCGACCAAACAAAGTATCCCACGAAGTTCAAGAACGCGGTAATAACGTCACCTGCGCACTCAGCAGCTCCGCCCGTCTGTTGAGCGACACGGCCGCCTCAGGGTGCTCCGGGCCCAGGGCCTTTTCTTGTAAAGCGTGCGACTGCTCCAACAGTGGCTCGGCCGCAGCAAACTTGCCCTATGAACAAGGAGTGGATGCGTGTGAGGGAGTGGTCCATCAAGAATGAACGGTAAACGCGGGCCCTCACGAAATTTTTGCAGGCCTACAGTAATTTCCTCGACTCTCGACTGCCTATAAACCAGGCCAACCGATTTTCCACCATTGACAAGAGTGTGTCGCATATGCTCTATTATGATTTTTTTTAGGCTTCTAATGCGGTGCGTTCTTTGGTGATGTTCCGAAACCAATTCGTTCCCATGGAGAGCAAAACAATTGCAATACTAGAAAACGAAACGAAACGTCTGAGGCTCCCCGCCTAGTTGGTCACCGAACTTTACTGGAAATCCCAGTAAATTACGCATCCCCGCGGCGACCCAACCTACACAAGCCTCCGTGCCGATACAAGTTAACGCGATGCGTTTCGCCGCGCATCACGTATCGCGCACGACTCTCTACACGGGGGGACATACAATGATCGGGCGGCGTAGTGAGGCGCATATGAGCGTTGAGGCGGGGATCATGCCGCGGCCGACTCTGCATGCGCTTCACAGCAACGGTAAGGGATTTTTGCTGGACGAGCGCGATCAGTCAACTGTTCCGATTTCGAGACCATCACCATGGTCCCCGTATCCCCCATATGGCGTAGCCCACAGACGCCACCGCTAGAAGCACCGAACGAATAGCGCATTGTTCTTGCAATGCTCTAGCATATACCCTAACATCTACTTCAAGGCTGAAAATCTGTTGGAAATTCTGGAGATCCTCACCTGCGTTATCAACGTCTCCGCCCGACTGTTTAAGTCTAGAGCCAACCCTGGATGTTCTGAGCCACTAACGACCTGGTCGCTTGTAACGGCTTCTCTCTGCAGATCGTCTCCTTCCCAACCCTGAAAATAGTTGGGGACAGAGGAAGTGTTGTCACCGCTGCACAGCTGGCTCGACGAATAAACCAATGTTAATAGCCGGTTTTGGGTTGGTGGACGATGATGCAAAAGTCGGAGTCGTTCTCAGGCGCACGCACAGGATGTTTTCCATCTCAGTACTCACTCCGAATTTGGAGGGGGGAATGTGGCTGGAAGTTGTGCTCCATTCTTGAGAGTTTTATGACGGATCCATACATGCTCAATACCTCCACCCGACTACCGAACGCTAATCGCAGGCCCAGTGCTTGGGCAACTTGGAGTATTGTAATGTAACAACCTGGTGTTCTGACAGAAAGACACTCCACTGGTAGAGTTATAAGAAACAAATCGATTGTAGCTACAAGGTTGACGCGGTAGAAGAAGACAAGAAGAAATAGTTGAGAGCCAGCCAGTCCAGCGACAGAGAGAAACGAGCACAGGCAGAATTGACACAGACGCTTCGACAATAGTGGGGCGATCGGAGAGAGTAGTAGGAACGAATATCGGGGAGATTGGCAAGATTGCTGCAGAGAGGGAAAGAGCAAGAATATCGTTGTGTCGGTTCCTCACTCACCATCCAAACCATTCCCCGACGGGAAGAAGAGAGAGAGGTGAGACTTGACATACTATTAGAGATGTTGTTCAACACGCTAGAAGGTGAGGATCAAGCAAACCGCGTTTCAGGCGCCGGCCGCATAGAAAGGCCGAGGGACGAGAAGGTGTGGTGTTCGCACGAGAATGACATGGAACGACCGACTGGCGTGCGTCTTACGAGGGATTATGCGGGAGATCTGTAATCAAAGCTCGGCGACCAACTGTTCTGTGGTCAGCGAGGCTTCTTACCTAGTAACACGTTTGTGTCTATTGAGTAGCGGCCTGGAGAAGAGGGGTAGAGGTCACCCCCCCAAAAAACAGGCTTCCGATTTCCGCGGGGAAAAAGCTAAAACACATACTTCTTGGGAGTTGGGAGACGAATCGTTCACTGTCGCTGGTGCACACAACAGGAATAACCCTGGAGCTCAAACTGCTCTTACCTCCACCTGCAATAACTCCACCCGGTTGTGATAACCGACCACACTTATTGAGCACGACGAAATTGTTGTAACATTCTCACCTCCTGGTACAACAACGTGGCGACGTTGCTGAGCGATACGTCAACATCAGGATCACCCACGTCCGGGACCTCTTCTCGCACGGTCTGTGACTGCTCATGGAGTCGCCCAGCCTCGGCATACTCGCCCTGGAAAGTGACGGGGAAACGGGACGTGAGCGTGGTCAGGCGCGAAAAACACTTGGTACGGAGGAACACAACACTCATCAACGCGGCCGATTGTCAAGAACTTCCGCAACTTTTGGATGACTCCGCCCGAAGAAATTATCAGCGATCTCTCCACCCGAGTGCTGAGCACCACAGTTCCACACAGAACTTTCCCCGAAAAATAAAGGCGGCTACCTGTCGATGCCGCGACGAAGCCCGGTTGCAAAGCGATGTCGCCACAGGTGGGTAATCATGCCCATGAAGATTCTCATAAATCTCCTCAGCCCGTTGATAAAGCGGCTCAGCTTCCGAGTATTGGTCCTGTGCAACAGGCAGTGGGTTCATGTGAGGCAATGATCCACCGCAAAACAACACGTTGGCCCAACAAATACGGGGTGAATAACGCCACGAAACTCCCTTCGATTTTCGCCTTACTCTCCCAGCAACCCAACCCTATTCTTCGGCATCGATGCGCCACTCATCAGAGCGTTGTGCGAATTCCGCATCACTCCTCTAGACCACTACACAACGTTTCTGGGTTAGGGTTAGGGTTTGGGTTAGGGTTCTCTGGCTCTCCCAACAACCCCTCGCGGTTCGTCGGTCCTGCTGACACTGCAGTATACGCCAAAAAATGACTCTAGAGGAAACGTTTCGAGGAAGGCACTTACCATAGCCCACGTTGAACGCACCTGGAGTAAGAACACGTCGCCGATCATCATGCAGGCATTGGCCACGTCTATTGGCTCATGCTCCTCGCCCAATTCCCGCAGGCTGTTCTCGTAGGCTTCCACGTCTAGCTTCTCGTTACCAGAAAGCTTCATGACTGGCCGCCACAGGGAGATCAGGGAATACATACCTTCGAGGGACTCTCCCTTACGGCAGTAACGCCAGACCACAGGGAGTCTGCTCAGGTAGTGCGTTTGGCGCATAACTGCCCGCTGAACCACGCCGCTCTCGTGTTGGCACATGACGTCAATGAAGTCCAACAGCAGGTCGTGAACAACAAAGGCTTCCCGCTCCTCAATCAAAAGTGAGCGCCCTACGAAGGCGCTTGCTTCTTTCTTGGCACCCTTCATGTCCTGCAAGGAAACACCAGCAAGGGCATCTTATCGGCAAGGGCCACCGCGTGCGTGCACCAAGGTACTTTTCTAGCGTGAGGAAACGTTGAGACCGTCCGTGCAAGGACGCCCACAGAACCGGGGCACTCTTGTCGCATACGAAGGATACGTAGCACCATAATACTACGAGCGTTGCCTAGAGAGGGGTCATGCTTCTGGAAAAAATGCAACCGAGACCATGTCATGCACGTGTGCACCTTGTCCCAGAGGTTGGCCAGCATTGCAACAGGTGCAGGAACTCCACGGGCGAGAACAACAAGGCTGAGGAATGAGTCCTGCTCTTGCACCCTAAGTCGCTCGAAGCTCAGGCGCAGAACGGGGAACAGCGGCGATTGTGACGGCTCCTCGTCGGAGTCAGTGGTCATCTGGAGGCCCCGACGACTTCGCTTGATTCTTCCTATCTCTGAGTGAAGCTCGCGCCACGCCAGGGCGGAGTCTGGGGCTTCCCTGACGCACCTGAGCGATCCCGCTATCGCGAGAGTCAGTGGATGACACCCGCAATCCCGGGCAACCTGTGATACACACGTCGCGCGCAGGAATACAGCCGGTTTCACGATTCAGAAAATTGTGATTGGTGAGGGGACTTTCGTAATCACTGGAGCTATACCCAGCGAAAAAGACAAGCGTCCGTTTGAAAAGGCGAACAACATAAACCTCAGTTTGCTCGACTCATGACGCACAAGGCATCGTACTTGGTTGGCCTCTGGCGCCGGAAGCGCCACCGCCCCGCTCTTCTTCCTCAGCAGCTCACGGGCCTCCCCGTCTTCCATATCCCCAACGATCATGCCGCGTCCTACCGAAGCGAGGCGGGTTGTAACCACGATTTGGAGCCCCGTGGGTCGTAGAGCGTTCACGACTTCTTCATGCCATACGTCGTCCAGAATGAGGAGGCGAGGTACGGAGTTGTCCCTCGCAACAGCGAAAGCGATATCGCGTACGCAATCGTCCAGGCCATCCATATTCTCCGAGACGACATCCATCTCCCTCGCCAGCCGTTCAACGAGGGCAGGAAGCTTGAGGTTGCCATGACGCCCCACGTCTAACCAGAAAATCCCCCGCCCGAAGCGCTTCCGGACCTCCTCGTTCCTAACGACAGCGGATACTAGAACCGTCTTCCCTGCTCCCCCACTTCCTTGCAGCACATACGGGGATCGGGGCGCGTTAGCGGCCGTGAGATTGCCAACAACTTCGGATATCAAAGAATTGCGCTCCACGTAGCTCGCAGGCAGAGCTAGCAATACAGCTGGGGCTGCAGCCATGTCTGCAGCGGGTGCTGCAGCCATGTCTGGGACGGAAGGACGCGTCGAGCTTCCCCCTCCCCCGTGCTTCCAGCATACGCTTAACGCAATTGGAACAAGTACGACCAGGAGCAACAGCATCCACCAATTGAGGTTATGCCACGAAAAAACACCGTCGTGACTTGCCGCATTTCCAACGTCCAACGAGAATGTGGGAAACGGGTCGCTTAACTCCATCATTCCGAGGACTTGAATGGTCGCCAGCTGTCGCTGCATGTCCTTGTCGATGCACTCGAGCTCCTCCGCAAGCTCCTTGTGAAGCCTGGCCCTGTCGGTTTTCTTGCGCACTCTCAAGAGCAGCGAATCCCCTGGCGAGGCCGTGTACTTTCTCATGAGAGCAGTTATCTCGTCGAAGTGTATTAGCAGCTTCGTCACTTCGGGCTCGATACGCCGATCGGATATTGACACGAGCTTACTATCGAACTGATTCACCACTCGTTCATAGTCATCCAAGCGCTCCCGCATGGCAGCCTTGACATCACCAGCTCCTTGCAAAACCTCGCGAGCACTACTGAGCGGGTCAGTAAGGGTCGCCAGAACCGATACTCTACCCATCATGAAACTTGTCGCCCACGCGACAGCCCACGCGCAAGACGACCTACATGGGGTGCGAAGCGGGTCGGAAAGTGCAAAAGGCGCGCGAGCGAGAGGTTCCTCAACAAACGATGCCCTCGCGACCAACTACCAGTGACGACGACGGGAACGTTGCCTTGGCAACAACGTGCCTGCACCGCGGCGTGCAGGTGGGCGCTAGGCTACCAGCCAGAGTATCAAGACACAGAAGCTAAGCACGTTGTTTGCAACCGATGCCTCGCCCTTGCTGGTGGAGGGACATGTGTGTGCCAAACAAAGCAATCCCATCGTGCTCTGAATAGTGAAGGTCGAGGACAAAGTGGATGCCGAGAAGGTGTGGGTGTTGGACTACGTAGCCTAGTCGCTATCCATGAGGTGTTTAAGCATTCGACGCGTCAGCATGACATTCTTCGAAAAATGGAAATTTCCCAAGAGTATTCCCGAGCACTTTGTACGCTGAGTATAGGTGTTCGACAATTATTCTGTTGTAGGAAAGGCATTCTCGGCCCAGAATATCGACCACTGCAGGGATGCTACAAAACAACCCTGGTGTTTGTATGTTCAGCGAGACCTCCGTTCTAAATAACAGCCAGAAGAGTCCAACAGAAGGCAGATAACACATGACACGCAAGACGATCTTGTGGACTTTTGCATTTCGTTCCACAACCCCCTGCTGTGCCTGCCTTCGATAGTAACTCGAGAGGAACTCTGCAGTCCGGCCCCTCTTACTTGTTGTGTAGTATTACAGTACACACAAGAAGAGTACGGGATGGTACGCTTACGAGCTTAGCCATTTGACCGCCGGGGGCGGTAAACGGCTCTCACAGCAATGCGGGTGAAACCTACAGTACGCTCAGCGGCTAGGATACGTTCAATTCATCCTGAGTCGTTTACGCGTGCGGAGGGGAAGGCTGAGGATCAGCGTCAACAGAAGGCATGCACAACAGAGTAAGTCTTCTGTTTGACCCCGAACCGGAGCGGGTCAGCAGATACAGAGGCAAAGCCGCGTTTGTGCCGTGCTTTGCATGCTTCTGCTGTAGCCAGCGTGTGGAGAGGAGCGTAGCATATGCCATGCGTTTCCGCTACAATTGTTATCTTATTGACGTGACGGCTTGCTTCGCCTGGTAAGGTGGTGCCATGGACTCGATCGTCGTGCGTTCAACAAAAGCACGACGTCAGGTGTGGTGTGTTGCTCTTGAGCGTAATCTTTCGGTGATGGTACTGCGCACCTCTGGGCGTTCTTTTTCGGTGCATTCCTTTCCAGTTTCTTGTTCACAGCATATACGATGCGCTTGTCTATCGCCCCGCTCAGTCGACGTTTGTGTCAAAATACACAATCAATAAATTATGAAATATAGACTATATCTAACATAACAATTGAGTAACTGCTGTACTGGTAGGTGATGTCCACTCATCTTAGGAGTCGGGTCTGTGGCTTCTCTCAGGGCGGCGGTTAAGCCGCCAAAGAACCTTCACTCTCGTGAGCCGCCAAAACAAATCACTGTCACGTGTCACAGCAGCATCTACAGGATACACATGTTGGCTATTTTTTTGGGGTGGCCGGGGCATGAAACGCTACATTGACGCTTACCCTACCCCCAACCCACGCCTTAGGTGTTAGCAATTTGGTAAGTTACTTGTAGGTTGGTGTCCCGGCATAGGTGAAAAACGAGTGGGCGTTGATGGGATTTTAAGGGTGCTTGCATGCAACAACATAGACTATGCTCATACAGCAACGAGGCGAGATAAGAAACGTCAAAGGTCATAATCGGGCCGAGCCTCAATTCCTGGTTTTGGGTCGAAGGACCAGCCGACGCAATCAATTTTCTTTGAATTGGGGCTGTCTCATCCTGCTTTTTCTCATTTCTTCTGAATAGAACACACAGCTCATCTTGATCCTTGAGGATAAACAAGTCGTTCAAGCCCTCATGAGAGGCGGCGGAGAGTGCTATCGACCCCGTTCAGCAGAAGCACAGCATACATGTATGTGCTGGTGCACGACGTGTTGCAATACTACCGAAGTGAGCAACGCAGCCCGCGACATACTTCACTGTCCCCCACTATACGGACGAGACGGCGAGGGAACAAAGCAAACGAGAAGAGACGGACCGAGTGGCGCGATACGTTACGGATTGAATATATTTTAGCCATTCCCTCCACCCCCCTCCTCCCCCGGTGTTTGCCATCGGGGTTGGGTTTTCGTCGCTTGGCAACGACGTTGTAAAACAAGCCGATTCACTTCGTGAGCTCGGCAACCAGGTTACCGTTTTTGTTTTTACCTCCTTTTTTTTTTTTGGCGGTAACCATAATGGTGGTCGAGTAGATCATGTTGTGCGGGGTCGA